CCATATAGATGAATTTTCCACCTCAAATCCATTGATTTCCTGATGGGCTGCGCCAGCTCGAAGCTCGAAGACTCGCCGGCGGTGGCCCTGTGCCGCGAGCGCTGCTCTTTTCTCGACGAGGCCATACGACAGCGTTTCGCCTTCGCCGAGGCCCACGTCGCCTATCTCCAATCCCTCAAGTCCGTCGGGCTCTCCCTCGATCGCTTTTTCACCCAATATCTCGACGGCTCCACAAGCGGTTCGTCCTCCCCGGTTCTCAATCTGCCGTCCCAGCGAAAGGGGGACCCGCATCCGCCCGGTTCGCCGCCGGAGAAAATCCAGCACCACCTCCACTCCAACTCCGATTCCGACTCCGTCTCCGGTTCGCATCTCCACTTCCATTCGGAGGACGAGGATGGATCCGATTCGGAGTCCCTGCATCTTCACGGCGAGGTCGGCTCGCCGGTACACCCCCACCACCAGCCACCGCCGCCGTACCTCCCATACGGCGGCTATTACCCCGTTTACGAGAATTTCAACATGAATCTCCCCGCCCCCCGCGGCGGCGGCGGGTTTATGAATATAAATTACATGAGGAAGCACACGACGCCGTCCGTGGTCTACACGCAGCGGCCCAAGAGCCCCGACACGATGCATATGGGTGAATCCTCTGCTCCTTCATCTTCCTACTACTCTTATCCTAATAATCAGAGCTCAAACCCTTCAAATCCTATGTACAATTTCAACAATAATGACGGAGGTTATCCGAATTACCCTTCCTACGGCGGCGTCGGAGGTGGATTCTGGGGCGGCTCTTCTTCCCCTCCTGCGCCGACGTACGGCGGCGGATATTCATCTTCTCCGGCGGTGGCTTCGACTTCCAAAGCGCCCCCACCTCCACCCTCGCCCCCGAGCTCCTCCGCCTGGGATTTTCTCAACCCGTTTGAGAGCTTTGAGAAATTTTATCCCCCTTATATCCCTAGCCGGGACTCCAGAGAGGTGAGAGAGGAAGAAGGGATCCCCGATTTAGAGGATGAGGAAGATGAGGTTGTGAAGGAAATTCATGGGGAGCAGAAGTTTGCAGATAGCCACTCGAAACACCGGCTGTCTGAGGAAAATGCTCGTGTGGCGAAGGAGGCTGAGTTACAGTATAGAGCGAGGCCGAGCGTGGGCAATGATACTGAGTCTTCCATGAAATATGAGGTTCGTATGGTGGATAAAATGGTTGATGCTGAGAAGTCGACGGTTCAGGGGAATGCAGCTGGATTTAAGCCACGTGGTGGGTTCAAGGAAGATTCAGATGTTGTGAGGGAGATTCAAGTTCAGTTTGAGCGTGCTTCGGAGTTTGGGAGTGAGCTGACTAAATTTCTGGAAGTCGAGAAGCTTCCTTATAAGCGAAAACACGGCGGCCATCATGGTAAAGATTTGATCTTTCTTGTGATTTGTTTTTTTATATGTGACTGGCACTTTTATGTGTAATTGGTGCCGATATTTGAATTCGGATGAAGTATTCTTGTTATCCAGGGGAAGCATTTGCTTTTTTATTTTATCTTTTTTTCCAGTAAAAGATTATATAAACTGACAATTCTAATCTTGTTGACTAGATTGAAAAGGTTAATTCTGATCAAGTTTCGATTTTTCTTATAAAATGTTTTGATGGGGTATACTCAATCTGGATGAATTCTCTTTGATATTTTTACTTTCTACATTGCAGTTTCTTCCAAGATATTGCATTTACATTTGGTGTCCTCACAACCTTCGGCATCTAAAAGTTCCGATGGCGCTGATCCCAACTTGTTAGACATAAATCAAGAATTAGAGCTTAGGTCCAAGAGTCTTTCGTCTACTTTACATAAACTATACCTCTGGGAGAAAAAACTGTATGAAGAAGTCAAGGTAATGTATTTGTAATATAGCTTCATTTACTCCTTGTTGTCTTTTATTTCATCTTCCTTCTTCCTGCTCCAAAATTATCTGCTTTTTTATGCCTCTGAACAACTGAAGTTGCTCCATTATGCATATTCGCTTACTACATGATATGTGGAGCCCACATGGCATCTTTATCCAAGAATGCATTCAGGATTCAGTAAGAGATGGCCTTCTTTATCCAATATCATGACATTGACATTAAATTCCTCATTTATGTTATTGGATAGATGTTGAGAGGGTTTTCTCTGAGTAGTTCACATATTCATTTACTTTGTATGTTATTCTCTCCACACAAAAAAAAAAATCCTTGTCTCTATATATATTGCGTTACATTTCACCTTCTTGATACATGGTAGAGAAAACTGATTTAAATTGAGTTTTGGTGCACTTTGCAGTTCATGATCTGAAATAGTGTTGATAAAAGCTATATGTGATGATTGAGTACATTCATTTTTCAGGTTGAGGAAAAGATGAGAGTCCTCCACGAGCGCAAGTCCCGAAAATTAAAGCGCTTGGATGAAAAGGGTGCCGAGGCTCAGAAAGTAGATGCAACTAGGGCTTTAGTCAAGAGCCTTTCGACCAAAATTAGAATTGCAATTCAGGTAGTCGATAAGATCTCAGTGAAGATAAATACTTTGAGAGACGACGAATTGTGGCCACAACTAAATGAATTCATTCAAGGGTAAGTACGTGTTCATAGACTTTTCCAATAAAAAAAACTATTCTTGATCATCTTTCTATATTGAAATAGGAGTATATCTTGGTTGTGTCTATTTAAAAAAAAAATAAAAAAATATGATTCTACTTTTTCCCAGGTTGACTAAAATGTGGAAGTCAATGCTCGAGTGCCACCACAGGCAATGCCAAGCCATGAGCAAAGCCAAACGACTGGACACCATCACACTCGGAAAGCACTTGAAGGATTCGCAATTGGAGGCCACCCAGCAGCTAGAGCATGACCTCATCAACTGGGCCACGAGATTCTCTTATTGGGCCGAGGCCCAAAAGGCCTATGTCCGGGCCCTACACAGCTGGCTCATGAAATGCCTGCTCTACATCCCGGAAGAAACCCCCGATGGAATCGTCCCCTTCTCCCCCAGCCGAATCGGGGCACCCCCGATATTCATCATCTGCAATCAGTGGTGGCAGTCTCTCGAACGAGTCTCGGAAAAACAAGTGCTCGATTCCATGCGTGACCTGGCATCCAACGTGCTCCAGCTTTGGGACCTGGAAATCAAGAGCCTTGAGAAAGAGGAGCAGAGGATTCACAAGGAGATTCAGGCACTCCACAAAAGAAGTTCGACTGTTTACCAAAGCCAGACCACCAAAGGCGGGAGCCTCCAGTCGAGCCTGCAGCACGTGCTCGAGGCTATGGACAGCTTCTGCACGAGCTCCCTCAAAGTTTACGAGGATTTGGTGCAACGTATTCAAGAAGATCATCGAGGGCAAGAAAGGGAATAATAAATAGTCCACACTTTACAAAATCTGCATGGCTTCTTCTTTTTGACCAGTTGGAAATTTGAAAGTGTCTGAGGAGAATATTTTACTGGTGTGAAGAGCCGATTAAAGACTTGCAGTGCACGAATTGGTAATAATTGAGCGAGGGAGCTTCGATTGAGGAAAAAGAAATAAGCAAAAAGGTATATTATTAGTAGGTTTATGTATATTAGTAGGTTTACCAGTAGTTGTATGAAACTTTCTTGTATTATTGTATAGGAATTCTTTGTATACGTTTGTTTGTTCAGGGTGGATTATTGGAAATCAACAGCAGAGTTCACCCTTTTCATTTCAAGAGGCTTTAATATATTTTGTTCTTGAAAGAGAGCAAGTGAGCCATTCTTTTGGTATCTTCTTTTGCTTTGAGCATTTTAGCAATATAGCCTATATTATGTGAATGAGTAGGCTGCTACTGATTGAGGCTGTCCCTTTCTCTATTGTTTTCTAGTTTTTTAGAATTATTTAGTTTTTGGGTAATGTTGGTGTTATGTAAGTGCAAGCTTAGTGGTTAGATAATTTTTTTTTTTTTTTTCNATATATATATTTTTAATCTAATGACATTTAGAAAAAATAACATAAATAAAAGTATTAATATTGCTCAATATAAATATATGATGTAGAGCGTATGTATGAATGAGATAGAACACGATCAATTCTCAAGAAAAATCTCAAATTCAAAAATCAAGTTTGTCTCTCAAAAGAGAAGACAATGTTTCTTATACATCAGATAATAACCTAACTTAAAAGCCCACTAAATGATAAATAAAGGCCCAATACTAATACTAATGATAATAAGAGCCCAATAATAAATAAAGACGACTAATGAAACTGAAACACGCTAAATACGAAGACGATTATATTTATTTAAAAATGCTATCGCGGTCTCGTCTCCATCATCCTCCCCTGATTAAGAAGGATTCGGCCGCGAATCCGAACTGGTCTCGTCTCCGTTTGAATTGTCGCCCGCGAAAGGCACCAAATGCTTGACGTTAAAAACGTCAGAAGTGCGAATGTGAGACGGAAGGCGAAGACGGTAAGCATTGGGGTTGATCTTCTCGAGAACCTCCACTGGGCCAATTTTACGGGCAGTCAGTTTATTAAACTCATGAGCGGGAACCTTTCTTTCGTTAGAACTGTCCAAACAAAATCACCTACCTCGAACTCGACGTGGCGACGACGGGAATCGACGGCCCGTTTGTAAGCAGCCGTCATCGACTCCAAACGAGCCCGGTGCCTAGGTGTGCGTCTTCAACAGGTCCGCCACCATGTCCGCCGCGCGCCGCTCGACCCCGCAGGAAGGTGGCAACGTCGCCAAATCGCACGGCCCCCGAGGTTGGACGGCATAAACCAGCTGAAAAGGAGAGAAGCCCGTGGCCCGACCGACGGCTGAGTTATAAGCAAACTCCGCCTGACACAAACGTTGGTCTCAACTTCATATATTGTCTCCCACCAAACAACGCAGCAAGTTGCCCAACGACCTATTCACCACCTCAGTCTGGTTGTCCGTCTGAGGGTGATAGGCGCTGCTAAAGTCGAGATGGGTGGCAACCATGCGCCACAAGCTCCGCCAGAAATAGCTCAAAAACCGAGTGTCGCGGTCAGACACAATAGCCGAAGGCAGACCATGAAGACGATAAATCTCCCGAAAAAATAACTGGGCCACGTGAACAACATCGGTGGTGCGCTTGCACGGAATAAAGTGCACCATCTTCGAAAAATGATCCACCACCACAAAAATAGAATCAAAGCCCCGCTATGTACGAGGTAAACCCAACACAAAGTCCATACTAATCGACTGCCACGGCTGGGACAGAATCGGGAGAGGCCTGTACAAACCCGCATTAGTGGCGACACCCTTCGAAACCTGGCAAACTCGACACCTAGCCACAAACCGGCCCACATCACGCCGCAGGGACGGCTAGAAATAGCTGCGGTTCACCAGCTCGACGGAACAATCCCGACCCACATGCCCGGTCCCGTGTAAGTCCGCAATGAGTTTCTGCCGCAGGCTGTACTCAGGAATACACAAACGAAGCCCACGAGAAAGAAAACCAACTGACAAGGAATAATCCTCGTAAGGCCCGGTACGTAAGTGCCCCACAATTGGTCCAAAATATGTGTCATCTGCATACACGTCGCGCAACACCTCAAAGCCCACGACTGCTACACGCATTTCGGACAACAGGAGGGCACGTCTACTCAAAGCATCGGCGACCCTGTTAGACGCACCCGACCTATGGTGCAGGACGAAGGTAAATTGCTGTAGGAATGCCGTCCAAGAAGCATGCCTCGACGAAATATTATCTTGGGAGGCCAAATGACGGAGCGCCTCATGGTCGGTATAAAGCACGAACTCTCTGTAAAAAAGATAATGTCGCCAATGGCGAACTGCACGAACCACAGCATAAAATTCAACATCATATGTGTTGTACCTCATTCTCGGGCCCGAACTTCTCACTGAAGAAGGAGACTGGACGTCCATCCTGGCTGAGGACAACACCTAGGGATGGCAATTTGGCCCAGACCCGTACTAGCCCGCTCCGCCCCCAGGCCTCTGGGGCGGACCCGACCCGCCCCGTTTTGATAAACGGGCCAGGTCGGGCCGACCCATTTTATAAACGGGGCAGGTCCGGGTACTGGAATCCGACCTGGCCCGACCTGCCCCGACCTGGCCCGACCCGACCTGTAAGTAATTTATAATATTAGACATATATTAGATATATGTATGGTGAGCCCTGGTATTAAAATTTAAAGCCCATTAGCATAAATATTTTTGAAGCCCAAATTCCTAAATATATTAGGTACATGCCCTAAATTTTTTAAAAATTACCAACATGAATTAATTGGGGTTTATTTCTTCATCTCTATCCCTATTCCCTGCACCCCCGTCCCTTTTTCTACTGTTTGTCCTTTTTCTACTGTTCTCAATTATTGTTGTTCATTGATGGCGAAAAATTGAGAGTTAATTAAAAGGCCAGCGAATGGGATAGTCTTGCAGAGAGCGAGGACAACAGATATATAATGTCGCCAATGGCGAACTGCACGAACCACAGCATAAAATTCAACATCATATGTGTTGTACCTCATTCTCGGGCCCGAACTTCTCACTGAAGAAGGAGACTGGACGTCCATCCTGGCTGAGGACAATGTCAACACCAATCCCCACCTTCGAGGCGTTGCAGGAAAGTTCGAAAGGACGAGAAAAATCCGGTAAGACAAGAACCGGCGCCGAAGTCAATTTCCTTTTGATAAGAGCAAAGGCCTCAGCAGCTGCCTCGGTCCCCGTGAGACAGTCAGTAATCGGGGTCATCACCGAGCTAAAATGCAAAATGAATCGCCGACAAAACGAGGTTAACCAATGAAAGCTGCGAGCCTCAGTGAATGAAGTCGGTGTCGGCCAATCCCTGACAGCCGCCACCTTGCTGTCATCAGCCCAAATACCCTCTGCCGAAATAAGGAAGCCCAAGAAGAGGACTGAGTCGACCATGAAGAAATACTTATGCGGTGCTGGAAAGAAAGACTCGGTCCGCAAGATAAGTAGGACTGCTCGCACATGCTCCAAATGTTCCTCCACCGAACGGCTATAAATGAGTATATCGTCGAAATAAACGATGACACACCGCCCGATAAGATCCCGCAACGTCTGGTTCATGATGCGCATAAATGTGCTCGGCGCATTGGAAAGACCAAACGGCATGACCATGCACTCAAAAAGCCCCTCCCGGATTTTGAAGGCCGCCTTCCATTCATACCCGGGCCGAATCCGAATTTGATAGTAGCCGCTATGAAGGTCCAATTTGGTGAAGACAGTGGCACCGTGTAGCGGATCCAGTAAATCATCTAAACGAGGAATAGGAAAACGATACGTGACGGTGATATGGTTGATGGCCCGACTATCAACGCACATGTGCCACGCCCCATCCTTCTTCGGAATCAACAAGGCCGGAACGGGACACGGGCTAAGGCTCCTACGAACAACCCCTCGTTGTAATAGCTCTTCAACCTGTCGGCATAACTCTTTGTGTTCCACCGGGCTCATCCTGTAATGTGGCTGATTGGGATGAGAGGCTCCGGGGACTAAGTCAATCTGGTGCTGAATATCCCGCAAAGGTGGTAAACCAGTAGGAAGATCGGTAGGAAAAACGTCTGAAAATTCTGACAACAATGGTTGCATAATGGTAGGTGCTTCTCGCTCCACCGACTTGTCAGAACCCACAAGTAAGAGGACAAAGGGAGCTGAACACATCTCCTCCACAAAAGCCGCCCTCGAGAGAAAAAGAACACTCGGAGAACTAGGAGACAAAACGGGACATGGAGGAGCAGGATCAAGGATAACTCGAATACCCCCAAAAGTGAAGCTATAGGTATTAAGCCTACAGTCATGAATCGCAGCACGGTCGTACTGCCAAGGCCTGCCTAATAACACGTGGCACGCGTCCATAGGGACAACATCGCACTAGACCTTATCCCGATAGTTCGTCCCAATGGACAATGAGACTAAGGCCCGGCGGTCAAACATTTCCCCGTTGGATCCATGCCAATGTATAGGGTTGTGGATGAGGTTCACTTGCTAGTCGCAATTTGTCAACTGCCTCTTGTGCAACCACGTTCTCACAGGAGCCCGAGTCAATGATAAAACGACACACCTTGTCACAGATGGTACATGTGGATTCGAAAATACGCTCCTTCATCTCATCACTCGTCGAACGAGGTGTTAGACACGACCGACGAATCACAAGGGCCGTGCCAACATCCTCCATATGGTGCTCCTCATGCACTCCCGGGTCAGCATCAAATACCGGAGGCCTATCATATTCCCTGGACCCCTCCTGATCGCCACCATCGTCAATGAATAAACCACGAGGGCCCTGACCCGGTGGACAAGCCGCCTGACGATGACCCACCTCCTCGCAACCAAAGCACCGTCGGAGGAAGCGCATGACCGGGCTGCAGCATCCCACCTCCAACCGGTCCTGCACGCGTAGATGGAGAAAAGCCCGAGCCAGCCTTCCGGGACAATTGTTGTTCGACCAGTCGCGCCCGTTGGTACGCATCCGACACCGACTCGGCCCGCATAAGGTTTAGCATATCTTGTATCGCCACACGTAGTCCTCCTACATAACGAGCAATCAATTGGTTCTTTGTTTCCCGTAGCTCCACGCGAGTCAAAATGCGGTAGAACTCATCTGTGTACTCGTCTACCGAACGCGTCCCCTTCCTTAAGTTCTGAAGTTGTTGATATATGAGGTTGTCATAGTTGAACGACAAGAATTCAAGCTCCACATGTTCTCGGAATTTCACCCATGATGAAATCGGCGCTCTCCCTTGACGATGCCGCACACTTGTCAGTTGCATCCACCACGACGCAGCTCGTCCTCGAAACCTCGTGGCCACAAGATCGACACGCCAATCATCCGGCACGTCCTTAAACCTGAGTACAGACTCCACAGCTGCCCACCAATCCAAGAATCCGTCAGCCTGGATCCCGCTATGAAACTCGGGAATGTCCACTCGAAACCCTGCCTCCCAACGCGACGCATCGCCCCCTTCTATCGGACGCATGGCCTCACGCCGGTTTCTCCAACCCCCAGTCTGTCCTTGTCGATCACCGAAAGGGCCTGCCTGTTGGAACTCGCCGTCGACAGCCATCCTCGGCCTGTCACGCCGCCACAGCTCCTCTTCCGCTCGACGATCCTTGCGGCGAAAATCCTCCTCGTCGCGCGACCACGCGCCGTCGCGACCAAAGAAACCCTCTCCGTTGCCCTTTGATCGACCACGCTCGAAATCCTCCTCGCGACGATAGAAATTGCCGCCTCGAAACCCATCGGCATCCCGCCGTTCATTCCGTTCTCCCCGCCTGCGCATGTCGTCTCTTCTGCCGCGAGTTGGGTCACCGTCGGCGAACGGGTTATCGACCGATAGGGTTTCATCATCTGTGTCGTCACCACCGGGCGGCGGAAATGGAGATCGATGACGGGGCGCCCCGCTAAACCCTCGACCTCCACGACCGCCGCGAAAACTCCCGTGTGCGCCCCAGCCAACCGCTTCACGATTCGTACGTACCTCATCCATCAACGTCCGCATCGCATCGGGCAAATCCTCGATCCCCGTTGAGATATCCGTAAACCTCTCGTCCATTCCATGAAATCGTTCATCCATCCGTTGGAAACGTTCATCAATGGCGTTGTCGATTCCGGCGTTTCACTTTGGCGGCATCGTGGATCGTTGCTGGTCTGCTGATACCAACTGATGTAGAGCGTATGTATGAATGGGATAGAACACGATCAATTCTCAAGAGAAATCTCAAATTCAATAAAATCAAGTATGTCTCTCAAAAGAGAAGACGATGTTTCTTATACATCAGATAATAACCTAACTCAAAAGCCCACTAAATGATAAATAAAGACCCAATACTAATACTAATGATTATAAGAGCCCAATAATAAATAAAGACGACTAATGAAACTGAAACACACTAAATACGAAAACAATCATATGTATTAAAAAATGCTATCGCGATCTCGTCTCCATCAATATAGATTGTTGTTAAAAAAATATGATGGATAAACTCGGATTACCATCTCAACCAAGAATTTTGTGTTCGTCAATTAGGTTGATATATGATATAAGAAAGATGCAC